GAGCGACGAACCGCTCCGTCAGTCGTCGTTCCGACATCGTTTCGTCGCGATGCGCGTCAGTCTGACCGTCTCCTTGCGATCCGCTCACGGTTGATCGCCGCCAGAAAGTTTCCGCGACTCGCCGCGCCGCCCGTTCGTCCGGAGGTGTTCGCATCGCGACGCGGAATCGAAAAAAAGGGAGAAAGATTCTCGCCGTCGCGCAGTCTGCTAAGCTGTCGCCGCAGCTCGTTTCTGTCTCTGCGCAGCCCCTTCGCTCCGTCCGCCCCGTCCGCTCCGTCCACACCGTCCACTCCTCCCACCCGCACCTCGGCTCCCTGGCCACCTCGTCGCGCCGCGCCGCGCCGCTCCGATCGTCGCTGGTCGAGCGCAACCACAGAGAGGAGAAACCGCGAGGGAAATCGAATCGCCGCGGCGGCCACCACCAACAAGAGGAATTTGGTGCACGAGAAAAAGAAACGACGAGGCTGTGGTGTGTGGTTCGCGTGGCAACGGAAGCAGGAAAGGAAAGGAAAGATGGAAAGAAAGTGAGGGAGCGAGCCAGGAGGAGAAGAAGAAAGGAAGCGATGAAATCCGAGCGGTACGATAGGTCGGTGTTTCCGAGCGGAAAGAGTTTGGTGGTGTCGCGTAAGGGATAGCTGTTCCGCGCGAGACACCTTCGCTGAGAGTCGAGGAAATTCCCCTGGTTCTGCGCGCGATCCGCTCGACGATTTCGAGCGAGAAAGCCGCTCGAGATCTGGCGTGCTTGGTAAGTGTGGAAATGGGGAAAGGCTTAGCGACGACGACGGCGGCGACGACGACGATGATCCAATTTTCGAAAGCCTCTGCTCTCGGTTTCACGAGACCGGTTTCCCCTTCGACGACCATCGCCAGCTTTCCTCCTTTTCTTCCGCCTCTCTCTCTCTCTCTCTCTCACTCTCTCTCTCTCTCTCTCTCTCTCTCTGTACTTATGTATGTACTTACACGCATACACGGATTTTTGCTTCCTTATCCATTGTTCGCAGAGAGTAATCTCCGGTTGGGATCGCGACCCCCGCGAGATTAGTGGGAAGACGAGATCAATGGGAAGATTGTGAAAGGTGCGCAGGGATATGGGGAAAAGAACCGCGAACGGACGCGTATCGAGCGGCGGAGGGTGGCTCGCTCGGCGAACCGTTCGAATTTACTGCGAACCGTTAACAGTCGATCGAACCGGAGCCCTACCGGAATAGCCACGTACGCGGCTCTCTTCTTTCCGTTCAGATCAGCTGTAAAATTCTCGAGCGATCGATCGAACCGTGCTCGATTTCCGTTTCAATTCCAAGTACGGTCTACGGTACAGAGCAGTACCAAATTTCTTTCTTTTCAAATTCAGCCTACACCAACACCGACAATTTTGTCTTTCCTTCTCTCGAATCGTCAACGAACACACACACGCAGGCAGATTTGACCGGGTTGGGAACTCTGCTCGTCTTCCCTAATCACGACGGGTGTTGTTTGCGCTTCTGGTATTACCCGCAAACCGGTTGCGCTCCTATCCTGTCTTCCGAGTGTTCCTGTTTTACTCCGCGAGGAACCGGCGAATAACTCTCTTCTCGAATTTAGATTCGCCCGACCACCCTTTCGATCTACCCTATCTCTCTCTCAGTCAGTCAGTCAGTCAGTCCTGCGGCTTAACGATCGTCCGCGTCGATCGAATGATTTCAGAAAACAGAGCAGGTGACCCCGCTCGCTCGCTTGTCGGATTTCCTGGTGTACAAGATTCCGAACGCCAAGAGGAGTTTCAGGGCGCCGTTCACCTGGGGTATCTGCCTGAGGCCATCTTGCCAAGCCGCAGCCGAAAACACCGCGACTGGAGAATCCGGGCTCAAGGTCATCGCTTTCCACAGTGAAAAGTCCCGCGTCTGTTGGCTCACGGCCATGAGGCTCGCCAAGGTAACCGAACGTTCCTCCTCCACTCCTCCCTGCTCTCGCGACACCCTTCGCCCCTACTTCTCGCGACCGACCCACTCGGGAGCCAAGTCCCGATCGCGTTCGCGAACTCCGTAGCTCGTATTTTCGTCGATCCGCCGCCTGCCTGTCCCACGCCGTTCCGAACCAACGGTAGAAGGAGACAGGAAGAGAGAGAGAGAGAGAGAGAGAGAGAGAGAGTGTATGTGCGAATGAGCGAGCGAGAGAGAGAGAGAGAGGGAGAGAGAGGGGGCGATTACGTTAAAGAGCGATCTCGTTTACGGTTGCAGTATGGCAAGCAACTGAGGGAAAACTACAGAGCTTTCAAGAACAAACAATGCGAGCAACCGGAGAATCCAAAGGACCGATACGTCAACTACAATGTCTCGAACGTGAGTACATATGTATGTACATACATACAACGTTCACGGCTATACTCGCCGGTGTATAGAACGCGGTGGAAAAATTTTGGCGGTCGGTTGTTGCTACGCGCGGTGACTATCGATCGTCCCTTCGCGACCGCCAGTTTCGCCACTTTTCCAACCGGAAGCGCGCTCAGTTTACGCAACCCTGGCGGATTTTCCGCTCGGTTTCTCTCTCTGCTGGATTTCTCCCCGGTTGTACCGGTGGCAACGCGTACGCGCAAGCGCAACCTCCGTACCGCGCGCCTGCGCTTCTGCAACCTTGACATTGAGCGTCTTCTCGCCCCCTTGATCAACCCGAGTGCCTCTTCTACTCCGCATTTCTCCGTATATCTCCGTGTATTGAGCAACATGGCAGAGCTGCCGTTCCTAGCGGAGCCCGCAGCAGCAGCGGATACTGGCTCCGGTGTCTCTTCCATGTATCGAGGATCGTCAGGCACCGGTGACGACGAGGTGAACTCGTTCGGGAAACTTGACCCTACTTCCGTTCCCCCGGACCTAATCGTCGTTATCGCGGTCGCGGTCGCGGTTACGTAACCTCGTCCAGCGTGGCGTGAAACCGCGAGCCACGTCGGCACACCGCTCGATGCCCGCCTAGCAACAGGCGTGTTGCCCTCAGGGGTTGCCCTCCCTCGCCTCTTTGGATTTGAGAGTCGGTTGAACAAAATCGGTTTAACAATGTTGGCAGGAATCGGTGCGGTCACACGTGGCCATGGATTTCACCGGGAGCGTCGGAAGGATCGTGGAAGATCCGAAGGAAGCGAAGAACATCGCGGAGAACGAAGGAGTGAACTGGCGGCGCACTTGGAGGCCGTTCTCGAGACCGCCGCCGGGTTGCGCGGTGGTCAGGCTTCACGGCCTCGACGACGGCATTCACGTGTTGCAGCCGTGGTTTCACAGGGGACTCAAGAGAGACGTTGCAGCGGCGATCGTCAGGGACCATGGTTCCGTTGACGGGTGAGAGACGACCCTTTCGCACTCGATCCGATACTATAGATCCGACCAACCTCTTTCGCCCTCCGTTTCAGCGTGTTCCTGGTCCGAGAGAGCAAGAGCAACTTGGGAGCGTACGTGCTGACCTACAAGTACAGCGAGAAGGTGTTCCACGCGCAGATTCAACCGGTGAGTAAACACTCTCTCTCTTCTAACGAAACTACTCGAGTACAGAGTACAGATGTAGGAAATGTGGTAATGTGTTGGAATACGTGTCAGGTGTTCGACGAACGATGCAACTGCTGGCTGTACACTTTGGACAAAGGCGTAACCAAGTTCTACGATCTGCTGCAACTGATAGAGTTCTACCAGCTGAACGCGGGCTGTCTGCCGACCCGGTTGACCCACTACGTGCAGAACGGCGTGCCGACAGATCTGTCGCAACCCGCGGAGGACGGCAGCTCGGCCGCGTCCCCGTCGTCGGCCGAGCTGCTCGGGCACCGATTCGCCGCCGGCGGGCCCGCCGTTTCATCCGCGTACGTCACCGGGAACAGAAGCATCTGAGGATAGGAATTCCAGCGGCCCGGCAGCGTCGACGAGCGTTTCGTCGCAACCCTCGAGCGTGCTTCTCGGTTCAACGCGAACGCGAACGCGAACGAAAACGAGAACCGGTCCGCGCGATCGGGTTGCTGGAGTTTGTGTCTGTGTAGCTACAGCAAGTGGAATCTGTAGCGCGTTCGAGCGTCCTGCCGACAGGGCTTCGTCCTCGCCGGCTTGAACGAGCAACGATATAAGAGAAGGAATCGGAGAAGGAATAGGAGAAAGAGGAGGAAGGTTCGTCGTGGACTCGCGGCGAGTAAAAAATCGGCTTTGACATGCGGTTAATCAATCC